GGAAAGGGGAGGAAGGAAGGGAAATAAGTAGGAGAGAGGGTTAGAAAGGGAGAAAGAGAGGAGGAGAGGGAGAAAGGAAGGGGAAGTAGAGAAGGAGTAGGAGAAGAGGGAAAAAGAAAGTAGAAAGAAGGGAGGGAGATGGAAGAGATTGAGAAGAAAGATTGCTGTACAATAAAAAAGATGAAATGGAAGAAAGGCAACCCTGAACATGCATAAATGCACTAGGATAAAGAATGAGTTATTAAAAAATAAAAGAGAATAAATATGAGTTAAAACAGAAAAATTAGAATTTGAGGGCAAATAAAGATGTTTATATAAATAAGCATAGCAATATTAAGACATGATTAAAAAATGGAAAAAGGAAATTTTGGCAAAAATTGTAACTGAGTAAAATGTATTTGAATATGTTAAATTGTATAAGTTATGATATGGCCAATACTCTGTTCATAAAATATGTGGGTGAAAATGGGGGGGGGGGGAATCAATAAAACTTGATTTAAAAAAAAAAACTTTGAAGGTCATGGATAAGGCACTCAATAAACCAGGGTGAGACTGGCTGGGAAAATACCAGGCTGTAATGAGTCTGGCGAAACCAAGCCAGACGAACTGCTGTCGGGGGTGTCTTTCGGGACCAGAACCATCCTGTAGGGACGGCGAAGAAGGAGAGGCATCTTGGACGGCTAAGAGGAACAGGCAAGTTCCTCGGAAAGCCAGAGAAAACTCTTTGATCCGATGGTGGTGGTGGGGGGGGCGTCATTGCGTCTGCCATGAAGCTGGGGCATCCGGAATAAGAATTGTACAGGAGTGGATATTTGGACAGCGTATTGGTACTGGGTGAGTGATTGGCCAACTCACAGGTAATAAAGAAAAAAAATTGGAAGCTGTTAAAAGTTATCCTGGCATGGAAATAGCAGCTAAATAGTGTCGGGGGAGGTTAATTGACAGAGAAGAGAGAAAGCGAAAGTAAAAAACACGAAAGCCCAAAATGGAGTTTGATGTTTAAACTTTAAATGTGGATACTGAATTTGGAGAGACTAAATTTATTATAAGAAAAACTCAAAAGAAAATACTTTTGGAATAGGATTGGATATAAACTTCAAGAAAAATTTTGAACCTTAAAGGAAGATTAAAGAATAAAGAAAAACCCACAATAGAAAAGCCCTATTAAGGATTTTAAATTGGACTTGAACTGGAATGTAAAGTTGGAAATTGGAAAGCAAAAAAAATTAGAAGAGAAAGTTAATTGGATTTAATACACAAAACTGGATACTTTGTTAAATTGTTGATTTGGAACTGATGGATTCTAGAGAGCCATCTACTGGCAGAAAAAAAAGTACTACAGTGAACACTTTAAATATGGGAAATTTACTGGGTCCTTGAGCCGTGAGAATTTGTAAGGAGCATTTGTTTGTCTTCTCAGTAACTTGATATTGATAATACAAGACGTGGAAAATAACAAACTTTAAATTGGAGTTAAAAAGCAACTAGAATGTCAAAATGTGGCAAGAACTAATTGAGATGGTTAAAATGGTATGTTTTATCATTTGATTTGGACAGAAAAAAATCAAGAATTTTTCCGGAGTATATTCAACGGGATGAACAAGCTATTAATGAGAAGCAAGAAAATAACACTGATGACAAAGACACTGATGAAAAACTAAATGATTACATTGGGAGTAGCAATGAAAAAAAGAGTGAATAACAGTTTCAATGATTACACTGGGATTGACAGTGCTAAAAATAGAGAGGTCAGAAAGAAACAAAAGAGACAGACTAACAATGGGGGAATGAGTAAGGTAAGAGGAAAAAGGGGGAATAGATCAGTGGGGAATAGAGGGCAATCAAGGCGAGCAATTTTTTTTTAATGATTACATTGGGATTAACAATGTTAAAAATAGAAAATCCAGAGGGGAAAAATTGAATGATTACACTGGGATTAACAATGGGGAAACAAGGAAGTTGAGAGGAGAAAAGGATAAAAGATAGGATAATTGTAAAAAGAAAGAAAAGAAAAAAAAAGAAAATGGGTGGTATACTAGATGGACCAGGAGAAAACGGTTAAAGGGAGTAATTAATGGATAGGAGGAAGGGTAATATGATATATATGTAAAGTAACAAATGTATTAACAATGGTATTAGGATTAATATTGGTGATTATATGATTTGATTAAGATGGAATATATTTGGTATAAAATGATACATTTAGAAGGGATTAAAAGATTGAAACTTAAATGGCAATATAATTGGTTTGATATAAAATGATTTATTTAGAAGGGGAAATTATATATAAGTATAATAATAGTTTTTATCAATAATTGTGTTAGAAGTAATATTGGTGATCATATTATATGAATAAGATGAAATATATTTTCTAACCCTGAAAGCGCAAAGGAATTGTATTAATATCAGGACAGTAAAAATTGAATTATACAAAATGAATTATTTGAAGGGGAAAGTTGGAATGAATTTGAAATGGAAGTTAGGTTTACTCAAAACGAGGGTTATAAAAACAAATGTGAAGAATTGTATTGTTTCTGATAAAATGATAAAAAAAAGTTAATTTTTAGATAGAAATGATGTAAAACAAATATAAAGAAATTTATGCTTAAAAGGGTAAAATAATGGATAAGGTAGTAAGACAGGAGAAAATGGTTATTGGGATTGTAAAATTGAATTTAAATGGTTTGATATAAGAATTTATTTAGGAAGGAAATTTTGAATGAAATTGAAATGGAAGAGAGGTCTGGAAGAAGGATAATATGATATATAAATAGTAATCATCTTATTAATAATGGTATTAGGAGTAATATTGGTGATTATATTAAATGATATATTTAGGAGGGGTTTAAGAAATGGAAAGTTAAATGAAATTAGAATAACAGATGTGAAGAAGTGTACTGTTTTTGCTAAAATGGTAAAATGACTAATTATTAGATAAAGGTGATGTAAAATAAATTCAAAGAAATATATAGTTAAAATGGTAAAATGATTAATAAGGAATTATGATATGATAAACTGGTCCACCTTAGGAAAATAATTGTGAAAAATTAAATGATTAAATGACTGTGTTTAAAGTAAAGGGTTTCAATAGAATAAAAAACTTTGGAAAATAGATGTGATAAAGGGAGAAGTAAGATGAAATAGGTTAAAATAAGGAGGTTAGGGTGGATTGTAATATTGATTATATATTATATAGTAAATAAAAATTAGAGAAAAGGAGAAAATAGAATACATTGGCAGAAATTGATATATATATAGTAAATTTATAGAAAATAAGCTGTATGAATTTTGATTTGGTCAATACTCTATTCAGAAAAAATGTATGTTTATGTGTCTTGAAAAATATAAAATTGTTTTTTTAAAAAATAAGTGAGGACTATCTGTATTAGCATGGAAAAGTGTTCTGAAGAACTGAACAAAGGAGAACAAAATCCAAACATAGAGTTTATTATGGCCCAGATAGAAAGTTAAAAATAATAAAAACACAAAACAGGATAAGAATGTTGGAATTTGTAGTGTTAGTCAAGGTATGTCTAATTTTACAGGCTGTATAATAGATTTTCGTTGTTCAAGGAAACAATCCCTGATCTGATAACTAAATCACTGATCTGATTGTACATAAAAAGATCAGAATTTGTCAGGTAATTTATTAGACAAATCTTATGAGCCTCATAAGAAATATAGTGTAAGATATGAGCTGTAGTTTCAATAGCCTCATCTGCAGAGGCAAAGTTTTAGCTCATAGGGAACTCTTCTATATCAGGCCTCCCAAAACTTGTGAGAAGATTATTGAAGCATGCTACAGTTAGTGATCTTTGGAATTTGTAGGTTATATAATGAAAATATATTGGTTTGAAAAATAGGTTTGAGCAACTATGTCAGATTTAAAGAACCCTCCATCCAAACTCCTGGATTTTAAGTCCTGCTTTGGCTATAGATGACTTTGTGCCTCTCTCTCTCTCTCAGCCCAACCCACCTCACAGGGTTATTTTTGGGAAAACAGGGGGAGAAAAGTGTGTATATTTGCCTTCTTGAATTATTTGTAAAAGTAATAAAGGTGGACTACAAATATATAAATTATGTGGTTAACACATTGTGTAACCCTTTAAATTATTGTAATTTTCGATTTGAATTAAGTTTTAAATTCTGATTACTTCTGCGTGAACATTTATTCACTTTGATTTGGGATCATGAGAAATATTGATAAAAGTAGTTAGCTGAAGATCGGTGGATTATGATTTCCATAGAACCAACCTAGTTGACCAAGTCGCAACAAGTCTTGCATGGAGAGCACAAGGACACCAGCTTCCGCCCAGCAAACCTAGCGAAAGGGGTCGACGTCGACAGCAGTAATTGTTGGCGTGAATATCACAACATCTACTGTTCAGTATAAAAGCAGTCACTAAACGATGTCAGTGGTTATTGGCTCCCATTAGGGAGCCTCCGGGACTCCAGCAGAAGGGCTAGAAAAGGGTAGCAGCAAACACTCCTGCTGTTCAAAGCAACTTTTGAGATCCGCCTGTTCTTCCAGGGTGGTCGCCTTCCCCCTTTCTTTGTGCCGAGCCTCTTAAGAGACATTGCATGAAGGGTCGGCTTTGCCTACGCAAGAACGGGTTGGATTCACTGTTTCCCTCCTTCCCTGTTCCGAAAATGTTGCAGAGATAGAAACTTTGAGAGTTATAACTCGGATTCACTTGTCACTCCGAGAAAATGTGGCCAGTTTGGCACAAGGTCGGTGGGTGCCAGGCTGGAAAATCGAATATTCTTTATTGGCCAAGTATGATTTGTCTTCGGTGCATAAGCTCTCAGTGTACATAAAAGCTATAAATGATAAATCATGATCATAGGTAGAAATAGAGTTCAACCGTTAAGCCCGTGAAAACCAGCCCAGCGCTCGGCGCCCAGGAAGCCTCGGCTGAGTGAGAGCCGCGTCCGTCGATGTATCTCTACGGCAGGCTCAGCCGGAGCGCTTCACCAGAAGTGACGTCTGGGGGAGGGGCGTGAAGCATTTTCCCGCGGTTTGGGAGACGGGAGGGGATGCTTTGAGGAAGGCGGCTACGGTAGTGGCCGGCCTTTTCTGCAGCAGCGTCTAAGGCTCTCGGGGGAACCTCTATGTGGCTGGAGGCGTCGAACATGGCGCCGACCAGTCCCTCCCGGAAAATGGGAACTGGCCCCTCAAGCCAGACGGACGACAGCTCCGAGTCCGCGGGGGAATCTGAGACTCTCGCCGCCGCCGCCGCCGCCGCCCCCCAGGCTCCTGACAGGTCAGTTCGCCCCGCAGCGGTAGCTCTCGCCTGGGGGCGGAGGGTGGGAGTGGGGTGAGGCGTGGGGCAGCAGGTGAGAGCTGGGTCAGGAAAGAGGAGAGAGGGCCGTCAGTCCAGCTCCTTTTGAGTGGCCCGTAGGTTGCCATCTTCTTTTCCGTTCAAGGAAGGAAATTCGTGGCCTCTACCTCTCGATTGCTCCTTGGATTAAGGGAATCATATTTTGGGGACTCATGGCTGGATTTCTCCCCCCGCCCCCCCAAGAGTTTGTGTGTTACATCGAAAATAAAATGATCTAAATAAAATAAAATTACCAACCGAGCCTTTCCCGTTTTAAAAGCTGTCGCCCTTATTTCCTCTTGGAAAACGAGTGGGTGCCAAACGAGGTCCCAAGAGGAGTGAAACAGCTTGATGGCTTGGAAAAGATGCTCAGGAGACCAAACAGACATGTAAATAAACGCCCATCCTGATAGTGCTGAGTTTTGAGATCAGTGATATTTAACAGGACAGAGGAATACAGGCTTCATTCTCATCGTTTGCCTGTGTTTTTAAATAGGCTGTACACCGCCCTGAGTCCTTCGGGAGAAGGGCGGTATAGAAATAAAATTATTATTATTATTATTATTATTATTATTATTATTATTATTATTATTATTATTATTATTATTATTATTGATCAGATGCAATGGCTGCTAGAGTTGAGAACATCATGTTTCTCTCTCTTGTTGCCTGTGCAGCTTTCCTTTGTGGCTGTTAGGCTCATCATAATCTGAATTTTACCTGGGAGATAGATGAACAGAAAAAAAAATATAAACATTGCCAAGTTCTTGAGATTTCTCTCTCCACAATAAATGACATTTGTGTGCAAGAAATTATACTGCAAAGAAAAGGCAGTGCTATAACAAACTCAAAATATTACTGATTAAAATTAGTTTCCTGTAAAATCCTTTTCTCTATCTGCCTATACTATAAAAACCATACATTTTTCACAGATATGTGAATACTACTCCTTCCCTAAAGCAGTAATAGTAAAAGAAAAGCCAAGATGGAGATGTCCTAGGAAGAGGTTAAACGGAAGAAGGAATAGAAAATCAGAGGAGAATAAGATAGAAGTAACAACTGGAAAGAAGAAAGTACCTGTTTAGATATTAAAAGATCAGCAAAGCAAGGAACACTTTAGGTGATTTTAAATTCTGTCCAGCCTTTCAGCAGCAATGTTTACAGTCATATTAAACGAAAACTGAGGGAGATGAGCCCTCTCTTTCCAGGTGATAGTATTTGGTATTGGATTAGTAAAATTCAGATGAGACAAAACTCACTTAACAAATTTCTCACTTTAGCAACATAAATTCTGGGCTCAATTGTGGTTGTACGTTGAGGACTACCTGTATATGAACATATGTAGCTGAAGTTAGAAAAATAGAGCACAAGGAAAAAAATTCACATCCAAATTCTGGGATGATTGGAGAGGCAAGACCTTACAAATAGTTTTTACCTACCCTATTATGTTTATATATTTTTTATTCAACAGCTATTTAAATGGAGACATTTTCAATTTGCAGAAAGAGCTTAGGTTTGATCTTTCTTCTAGTGCACATTTTTCAAGCCCAGAGTTTTATGAGAGTAAGTAGTCTTGAAAAACCCAACTCCTTTTTTTCCCTCCCTTCCACCCCCTCTTAACTGATAAGATAGCTCCTGTAAGTTCATTTTTTTTTCTCAGTCTCATTTTTGAATTTCTCTTATAAACTTGACACCCATGGACTTTTCCAGATATGTATATATGTAGGTATGTATCCAGGTATTTATAGACTGCCATGACTAACAGTAATTGTGTAGTTTAAAAACGAAAATGGGGGAAAAGAATGGCAGACTAATATATCAAACATTCTAAAAGAGGTCCTTTGCCCACTATAACCCATAGCCTGAGAATCTAAGGGCTTGTTTAAATAAGAGTATGTATGTATGTATGTATGTGTGTGCGTGTGTATAAATAAAATACTAACTAAAATATTTGGCCTAATTTACTTTCAAAATTTGATAATATTGCTTCTCATCTTCATATATCTGAAACTGAGACTCGAGCTTCTTTGCAAAAACTATTTCTTAACCAGCCATCAGTTTTACAGTGGTAAAAAAAGATAGCAATTACTTGAAGTTTAATATTATTAGTGTTCTCTTTTTCACTTTTCTTTCTTGTTACCTTCATCTATCCTCTTAACATTTTACTGTCTTAGTAAGAATAGGATATAAAATATTGGCATAATATTCTAATATAGAATATTAGAAAAAATATAACAACGAGAGTAGAGGCTGTGAGATACTGAGTTTGCAGCAAGGTTTAAAGATAAAATAAACGATGGGGGAAAAAGATGTGTTAGCATGCTGAAAAGACCACTGGCAGGTTTAAGGAACTAACAAAACATAGATCTAAAATTACATCACTGTTTAATAGCAACAATTAAAGTGTCATTGTTTTGAAATGATGCTTTTCATCAGAATTCTTTTTAGGTTTCATAATGAATAAAATACGTTTCACTGCATCCACATACCACTAAAATAACTGTGTACATTGATATATATATGAATGAACTTGTGTCTTGAGTTCATGGAATGAGGTCAGGAAAATACCATGGTACCTGTCGGTAACTAGCTGGGCTGGCTTGAGCTAAATTTTAAATTGGTTTTAAATTGGGTTGTTTTAATTTACGGCCAGAATATCTAATTATTTTAATACTGTTTTTTAAATTTTGTATGTTTTGTTTTTACTTAGGCTGTGCACCGCCCTGAGTCCTATTTGGAGAAGGGCGGTATAGAAATTTAAACAAATAAACAAATAAATAAATAAATAAATAACAAATAGGGCCTGTGATTGCATTTTTCATATACAATTTGCATTGTTTGTGCTTATTGATACATAAGAAAAGTATTGGAAGTGAAAAGTCAGTACCTTATTTGCTAAAATAGTGTAGTACATATTCCACAAAATTATGCAATCTGTCAAGTACCTAAAATATTCAGTTTTATAAAGTAATATATTTCTCTTTGCCAGGCTTTTGTTTGCTGAAACAGACTTTGTTTCCTTATGTGATGCTTTACGCATAACAGACAATGTGAGAATAACTGCTTGGAAGGCCTATGAAAAAATGGATATAGTGAGTATATCTTCCTTATTAAGTATGTAATTTTATTAACTAAAATCACAATGTAATAACCATAATACGTTTTGGAAAATAATACCAAACACACACACAAACACTCACACCCATCCCCCCCCCAATTTAGTTTTTGTTTATATTTTTAGTGCTATTTCACTTTTCTCATGAGCTGTTCTGCCCCAGCTACGGACCCCAAAGAATGCAGCACACACAAAGTCTGTACAAACTTTAGTTTACTAAATTAAATCAGTCTTTTTCAAACAAAGGCTGTTAATTAACTTTCTTAACAGCCTACAAGAATCCAAAGAATAAATAATCGTAATCTTACTATGGTTGGCAGAAAGCCCAGAAACAATTTGCAGAGAACTAAGATCCAGACGCGAAGGACAGTGAAAGAAGTTGTTCCCTGCAAATTGCCTGTCGTTGTCCTTCCTTAAATAGGCTAAGGGAGTGGCCAATTAGCCCCAAGCCTTACTCTCGAGGAGACCTCCTCCTGAGGAGCCACTCCTGCCTTTTGGCAGCTCTGCGCACCCGTGCATTGAGAAGAGGCTCATCCTTTTCTTCCTCTTCACTTATGGGAGCTTCTGGAGGTTCTGAAGGCCCTGGCTGAATCCCTGCCTCTGGCACCACATCTTCTCCAGCCTCCTCATTGTCCGACTTGAGTGCCAGCTGCACAGGCTGCTGGCACAGCACCATATCAGCCTTCTCGCTGTTGGAATCAGCTACTAGCTGCACAGGCCGCTGACGGGCCACAACATGAGCTGACGTTGATTTTAAAATAAATATTAGTTCACATCTGATAAAATCTAGACAAAGTTTTGTTTTTTAGTGCAAGTAGTGTTTAGTTTCTTGTTCTCCATGCGAAAATGGTTGCAAAGTGCTAATATTTCAGAATTGCTTGTTGCTATTTATGGCTGGCAACTTTGATAAGGTACACAGTCCTTCCTTATGTAAACAGAAGGCCCATCTATAGGTAGACCTTTATTTATTTATTTATTTGTTTGTTTGTTTGTTTGTTTGATATATATTGCTTCCTATTTGCACATAGAGACTTAAGATGGCTTACAAGAATATATAACATATAAAAACAATAAAAACAGTAAAAGAGAGAATCATATATAATAAAACAACCACCCGCCCTGGTGACAATACATCATACGAGCCATTTAATGGGCTCCATCTTGTTCTGTGTTCCCCAGACCCACTGGCAGAACCAGATCTTAAGTGCCTTCCGGAAGAGTGTTAGAGTGGGGATCATTCTAATCTCTGGGGGAATGATGTTTCAGAGAGGGAGCACAGAAAGGCCTTTCTTCTGAGTCCCACCAGATGTATCTCCCTAGGGGATGGGACCCGCAACATTCCTTACCTCCCTGCTCTGGTGGGTCAGGTAGATGTGACCGGCAAGAGACGGTCTCTCAGATAACCTGGTCTCAAGCCATGAAGGGCTTTTAAAGGTGACAACCAGCACCTTGAATTGCACCTGGAAGCAAATTGGCAACCAATGCAGCTCCTGCAGGAGACGTGAAACGTGCACATCGAGGTCTGCATAAAACCATGTGGACTGCTGCATTTTGCACCAACTGGAGTTTCTGGATGCTCTTCAAGAACAGCCCCATGTAGAGCGCGTTGCAGTAATCAAGACAGGAAGTGACTATTGATGATACCTTCCTTTCTTTCCTTCCTTCTTTGGGTAATAGGGAGTCTGTTCCAGCTTCTTTCTCTGTATAGTCTACTCTAAGCTCCTATGGCTTGTTTGGCCAGTAAGAATGGATGAAATATAGAAATCCTATTCAATAGTTTTGCATTGATTTCTTGACATATCCCAAGCTGTACTAATATTCAGGTACATCCTAGAAAGTATTTCTGTTACTCTTGAGTATTAATTATGGTTGGAGAAATGCAATTTGATATGCTGGCTCTAAGTACAGAATTGTATTAAATATAAAAGGCACACATATGCATAAAAGTATATGTATATATCTTCTGCCTATAATAAAAGGATTCCCATTTATGGCTTCATTCAATTAGTACCAAGACTTTTAATACGATTGGGAGGAAATATTTTGAAGTATAAAATATATATTTTCATTTTTCTGTTTTTTAAAAACCTTTTTGTTCAAATCCTATGAAATAGCGATAAATTATTCAAATTTTGGGACTTGAATATGAGACTATCGTATAGCTTTCACCTCCTGGCATTGCCAGATCTTTGCATTTTCAAGATATCTGGAAGATACAAGCTAGGAAAGACTTCTCAAATAGTATATACTGGTGATATGGTACCAGGCAAATAATTTCAATCTTGAAATGTTACTCAATAGCAACTATAGGATAACAGTTAGGGCTTAAACAAAAATCCCATTTTTTCTATTATCTCCCTTTTCTTTTGATGCAATAACCTTCAATATTTGATTGATCCTAAAAAGCACAATCCTAAGTATTGGTGAGCTATTCTTACCTTTGAAATAACAATAACTTAAAAATTATTTTGAGTTCCCCATACATACAGCAACAGCAATTACCTTTTGTAAACTGATAGATGTTGGTCCACTTACTTTGATAATAGAAGATATGGTGGTAAACTATATAAATATAACTACAAAAGTTCTATATAAAACAATTATATTGAATATAAATTTTGATCTGATATTGTTTATTTATTACAGCTCTAAATTTTTTTTTTTATGACTAACTTATTTTAATCACAAGACTTTCCCATCACTGTAAGAGGGAGATGGTATTCCGATGTTCTATTATATTAGCTTCCTTGTACAATTATCTACTTTACCCTTTTTGTCTTAACCATCTGTTTTAAACCATCTTTAACACCTTAAGAAGAAAATGTCCTCTCATCGCCTCCAATTCTATCTCACCTCCGATGTATTCAATAACAGAACTCCTAGCACTGCGAGATTCCCCCCTCTCGCAAGTTTGGCCCTCCCAGTTATCTAGGACCGCCCTCAAGGACGGGTTTTGGAACCCCGAGAGGTGGTATGCTAAGAACCGGAAGCTTTGGGGTTTTTTAGATAGTTTTTCAAATTCTATTTTAAGGGGATCTGGGAGGAGGGTGGTTTCCAATGTAAATAATGAGGCTGGGGGGCCTCCCGGGAGGGGGGTGGGTTGTATGGGTTCAGGGATTAACCCGTGAGGGACGGGGTCTAGTCCATCTGAAGAGCACGGCGGAGGAGATGCAGAATCTGGGGCCAAGGAGAGGGTTAGAGCTTGTGCTGTTGATAGACATTACATCAGTACTGTAGGTGGGAGGGGCAGATATGACGGGAGTAGGGGGCCACATCAAGTTGCGGGAGTGCGCGCTCGCTGTCTTCAAGCGGTGGCACGCTCCGGCCCCCAATGCTCTTCTCGTTCCCCAGGTGGCACAGACCCTCAGGCCCTGGGCCTTCGGCTGATGCTATGCAATGCCAGGTCCGTGGTAAATAAAGCCCCCCTCATTTGTGATCTTGTTCAGGAGAGGGGAGCGGACCTGGTGGGTATTACGGAGACCTGGTTGGGCCAGGAGGTGGGAGTCCCTCTCATAGAGATGTGCCCACCCGGTTTCCGGGCATTTCATCAGCCAAGGTCACAGGGAAGGGGCGGGGGGGTGGCAGTTATCATTAAAGAGGGTCTTAGTCCGAGGGAGGCCACTGTTCCTCAGACGGCCGGATGTGAGTCCCTCCTTGTGAAGTGGGGTTATGGGGTGCAGATGGGCCTGCTGGTTACGTACCTGGCTCCCTGCCACGTGGCAGCGGCCTTGCCTGAACTACTCAACGTTATAGCCGTGGTGGCGATTGATACCCCTAGACTTATGGTCATGGGGGACTTCAACCTGCCATCCGTCGGTGAGGCGTCTGAGGTGGCTCAGGAGTTCATGGCTTCCATGACGGCCATGGACCTGACCCAATTAGTTCATGGCCCTACTCACACGGGGGGAAACACGCTGGACCTGGTTTTTGTCTCTGGTCAGTGGCTGAGTGGTCTCAAGATAGGGGATATAGCGATCGAGCCCTTGTCATGGTCAGATCACTCCCTCCTTCGCTTTGACCTTCGAACCGCCACACCCCGCCGCAGGGAAGCGGAACCGATGAGGTGGTTCCGCCCCAGGCGCCTGATGGACCCAGATAGGTTCCAGACGGAGCTTGGGCCATTTCCTGAGGCTCTGGCACACGGCTCGACTGAAGACCTAGTGGCTGTCTGGGATAGGGCGGCCGCTGGAGCTTTGGACCAGATCGTGCCTTTGTGGCCTCTGACCCGGCATCGATCTCACCTGGCTCCCTGGTTCACCGAGGAGCTGAGGGAGATGAAACGCCGGAAAAGACGCCTGGAGAGCAGTTGAAGGGCCAGCCGTTCTGAATCTGACCGAACACTGGTAAGGTCTCATATTAAGACCTACCTGGTGGCAATAAAAGTGGCAAAGTGTAACTATTTTTCCGCTCTTATTGCGTCATCAGATAATCGCCCGGCCGCCCTGTTTAGGGTGACCCGCTCCCTGCTCCACCAGGAAGCGCGGGAGGACCCCTTGGAGGGTAGAGCCGAGGACTTTGTACAATATCTGTATGACAAAATCGCTCAGATTCGGGAAAATTTGGACTCTGACTGGGTAGATTCGGGAGGGAGGATGGAGGCAAGTCTTGAGAATATTACCTGGGAAGAGTTTGATTCTGTGACTCCGGAAAACGTGGACAAGATACTGGGCAGACTAAGCGCGGCCACATGTTTATTGGACCCGTGTCCCTCCTGGCTGGTGCTGGCCTCTCGGGAGGTTACACGAGGTTGGCTCCAGGGGATTATAAATGCTTCCTTGAGAGAGGGTGTCTTCCCTGCCGCCTTGAAGGAGGCGGTGGTGAGGCCTCTCCTCAAGAAGCCTTCCCTGGACCCAGCAGTGTTGGCTAATTACCGTCCAGTCTCCAATCTTCGCTTCATTGCAAAGGTTGTTGAGAGTGTGGTAGCGCGACAGCTTCCTCAGTACTTGGATGAATCGGCTTATCTAGATCTGTTCCAGTCGGGCTTCAGGCCTGGATACAGCACGGAAACGGCATTGGTCGCATTGGTAGATGATCTCTGGAGGGCCCGGGACAGGGGTTGCTCCTCTATCCTGGTCCTATTAGACCTCTCAGCAGCTTTTGATACCATCGACCATGGTATCATGCTGCACCGGTTGGAAGAGTTAGGGGTGGGGGGCACCGTGTTGCGGTGGTTCTCCTCCTTTCTCTCTGATCGGTCGCAGTCTGTGTTGACAGGGGGGCAGAGGTCGACCCCGAGGCCCCTTGTATGTGGGGTGCCACAGGGGTCGGTTCTCTCACCCCTTCTGTTCAACATTTATGTGAAGCCGCTGGGTGAGATCATCCGTGGTTTTGGGGTGAAGTATCATCAGTATGCTGATGATACTCAGCTATACATCTCCACCCCGGACCACCCCAATGATGCCCTTAAAGTGATGTCCCAGTGCCTGGAGGCTGTACGGATCTGGATGGGGAGGAACAGACTCAGGCTCAACCCATCCAAGACCGAGTGGCTGTGGTTTCCGACGTCCCGATATAGTCAGTTGGTGCCATCACTGACTATTGGGGATGAGTCATTGCCCCCCACGGAGAGGGTTCGCAACTTAGGCGTCCTCTTGGACTCACGGCTGTCTTTAGAAGAACACTTGATGGCTGTGGCCGGGAGGTCTTTTTATCAGGTTCGCCTGATTCGCCAGTTGCGTCCCTTTCTGGATCGGGACTCGTTAAAAACGGTCACTCATGCCCTCGTCACTTCACGCCTGGACTACTGTAATGCTCTCTACATGGGGCTCCCCTTGAGGAGCACCCGGAGGCTCCAGCTGGTCCAGAATGCGGCCGCGCGGGTAGTTATGGGAGCAGCATGGCGCTCCCATGTGGCTCCCCTCCTGCGCGAGCTGCACTGGCTCCCTGTGGTCTTCCGGGTGCGCTTCAAGGTCTTAGTTACCACCTTTAGAGCGCTCCATGGCTTAGGACCGGGGTACTTACGAGACCGCCTTCTGCCACCAATAGCCTCTCACCGCCCAGTACGCTCCCATAGAGAGGGGCTTCTCAGGGTGCCGTCAGCCAAACAATGTCGACTGGCGGCCCCCAGGGGGAGAGCCTTTTCTGTGAGGGCACCCACCATCTGGAACGAGCTCCCCCCAGAGATACAGAAGATTCCGGATCTGCGCACTTTCCGCCGTGCCCTCAAAACATTCCTGTTTCAGCAGGCCGGCCTGGCCTAACTTTCCCTTTATATTGCTTTTTGATTTTATTTTAAACTGGGATGTCTTGAATTATCTAGGACCAGAATGTTTAGTATATTTTAATTGGTTTTTTATTATTAACGTTTGTATTACATGTATTTTTATCGTTCGCTGTTCACCGCCCTGAGTCCCTTAGGAATAGGGCGGTATATAAATTTAATAAATAAATAAATAAATAAATAATACAACTGAGCTAACCTTTTTTTTCTAGGAAACCCAGCTAAAAAAAGAAATGTGGGGCATCTGCATTTTTATGGCTGCAGTTGACCTGGATGAGATGACATTCACTTTTACAGAACTTCTGAAATGTTTAAAAATTAGGTATGTTTTTTGTGTCCACATAGATCGGCATAATTTTGCAATTATAGTAATGTCTGTTTGACATTAAAGAATACATAAATTTTATTTAGAGTCATGATGAGAAGCATCTTTTATATTGCCTTAAATGATCTGTATGAGTGTTCATAATCAGTAATTAGTAAATTACATGTTAAAGTAGTAGGATTGCTAATTTTGAGGGAAACTGGGTTAAGACAAGAAACATTTAAGCGTTCTACCATCTTTTAAAGCCTCTCTCCCACTGCTATTTGAGCCTCTTGAAGAAATTATTCATTTATACATATCCCTCACATTGTTTCCCTCTAGGATAAACAAAAGCATGTAGAGTCCAAAAAAAACCTACTTTGGCTAAAACCTACTTAGCCAAAGAAATTAAAAGCATGAAGTAAAGGTAAAGGAAAAACTAATACTACTACATCTCTTAATATCTTTTTGTCTTTGGATACTGTCCTTGCTCATTCATACATGAGCTTATAAATCACCATAATACTCATCTCTTTTAAAGATCTTATCACTACCATCCAACCAGAACTTTCTTAGTTGTTCCTTTCCTCTCAATCTATTCACTCATCCATTTCAGTAATGCTGCTCAGTAATGCAGAATTATGTAAGGCACACTTACATACCGTAGTTCTTTTCATTTTATTCCAAGCATCTTCTACATCAGCTTTCCTTGCTTTCATTTTTTATTCATTCTGTTGGGTAATTGTTTTATTTAGTTAATCATATTTATATAGCCAGTCATCTTATAATGAACGTGGGTAGCGTACCTTATAAAGCTATCAAAATACCGTATTTTTCAGACTATAAGACACTCCTGACTATAAGACTCTCATTAGCTTTAGAGGAGGAAAACAGGAAAAAAAAATCTGCATCTGCCTCCCAGCATCCATCTGGTATTCATCTGGCTAGCGTTCTTGTAGCAAACAGCCTGGTTAGCTTCAGCACGTTATAGCAACTCCAGCATGTGGCTTGTCAGGGCTTCACTCTGTTGCGCCTACCACCAGTCAACTGAGCTGAGCGGCTGCTGCCGCCGGGGAACACTGGAGCCTTCACTGCTGAACAGCTGATTGGCGGTTGGATTGGCCTCCCAGAATACTGCCGATCAGCTGATCTAGGTGGCAGGGATTGCCGGTGGGGATCGCTGCAGCGGCCCATTCACCACTGCCCATTTGCCGTGGCCTGTTCGCTGCAGCAGCCCGTTCACTGGCAAACGGGTGGTGGTGAACAGGCACCAGTAAACAGATGATTGGCGCCACACCAAACCCCCTCCACCCACCGCAATATTCTGTCTATAAGATGCACAGACATTTCCACCCACTTTTGTGGGGGGGAGGGAGGTGCGTCTTATAGTCCGAAAAGTAAGGTACATAAAAACAGTAAAACAACCAATTAAAATGAAAACAGAAACAAGTAAAAATTAGTAAAAATGTAGCAAATATGCATAAATATACTCTAATTGTCATAAAGCAGCGATTCCCACCCATTCTGGTTCTGTGGACTGGTGGCGGGAGGGGGGGAGGGGATGGTTTTGCGCATGCACACACTGCTTGTGGAAATCCAACTTTGCATGCTTGCCTGCTGCTTGCAAGGCCAAGTTCCCAACAGGCTGCGGGCAAGCACCAGGCCACGAACTGGGGATTGGAGACCCCTGTCATAAAGCCAGCTGGTTGAAAAAAATGCTTTAAAGGCCTTGAAGGCCAACACGGTTGAGGCCAGTCTCTTCTGCGATGGGGGGAGATGATATTCCATAGGATGAGATCACAGCAGAAAAAGGCTTTCCTTCTAGGTACTGCGCAATGGAACTCCCTGGTTAACAGGACACACAACATACCTCTCCTGTGGACCTGATGGGATAGATGTACAGTAAGTGGGGAGAAGCAGTTCCATCAAATATCAAATAATCCGTCTTAATATTTTTTTCATCCAGAATCATACTTTTTCTCTTTTTTTCTTTCACATTTTTTCTTTGCTTCTGTGTCCATGTTTTTTCCACATCCATTCTTGGTGGTCCCCCAAAATGGCTTGTCTCATGTTTAGAACTTCAAGCCACCCTTGTATCCAGCTCTGATTCTGTCAGACTTTCATCTGTTATACTTTTAGATTTATATTCTGTAGAGATTTGTCTAAATGAATGAACATCCTTAAATGCTTGTATTCAAAACAAATCTACCAAAATCTAGTTCTTTCATTTTCTCTATACTCATAAATTGTGGATGTCACCAGTATAGATTTGTAGCATCATGTATATCCACAACCAGTGGTGGAATTCAATTTTTTTTACTACTATTCTGTGGGCATGGCTTGGTGGGCGTGGTGTGGCTTGGTGGGCGTGGCAGGGGAAGGATACTGCAAAATCTACATTCCCACCCCACTCCAGGGGAAGGATACTGCAAAATCCCCATTCCTTCCCCACTCCTGGGGGAAGGATATTGCAAAATCTCCATTCCCACCCCACTCTGGGGCCAGTCAGAGGTGGTATTTGCCGGTTCTCTGAACTAAAAATTTCCACTACCGGTTCTCTAGAACCTGCTGAATAGCACCCCTGCCACAACCTTAATAGCACTGTTTCATACTTTCTGCTATGTATTTTAGCAATTTTATTTATAGTTCTACACTTTCAGTTCTTAGCATGTATTCATCAACTGCATTCTACAAAATCAGTTCCTCTTCATACCTGTTACAGCAGTGACAGCTGTGGACTGCCATTGCTTCTTTTGATCTTATGAGATGATTTTTTTAAACTTCAAAGTTCAGCCTATGGCTCTGAGTTTCCTTGGTCATCACCATTCAAGTACTAGCAAAGTACTTACATTTTTTTGGCTAGACATTACTGACTGCTATAATAAATTATTAGTTGATTGATAATAATCAATAGTCAGGATCATTTAAAAGTACAAAAACAAAGAAAAGCAAATAGATAATATAGCATACTGGCAACTAAGAAAATAATCCACAAAATAATATTCATTATTCTATTACTGTATTAATACATCTATAATCCAGATAATGTATATCTAAAACCTTAATAGGTATATATATATAAATATAGTCTCCCAGGGAATTCTTCTATTAGGAGCAAAATGAAAATAAATCTAATGTCCCTATAGAATTTACAGTGTAATACGTATGAGATGGTTTCAACTTTCTCATCACCTCATGAGCAAATAGGATAATTTATAAAGATTTTACTACACCTGCCTTGGGTGGAAGAATGTTGAACTTAGGGAAAGTTGGATTTAACAAAAATTACTCTTAATTGTTATTTATCTTGGTTGAAGAACTGTGATAGTTTTTAATAACTATTCAAATAGCATGTTTTTGGGTTGTATAAATAAAACTTCTGAAAGTTGACCACCCAAGGGTCTGAAGGAAAGTGGTCAACATACGGAACGACTATACTGATATGTACACGTGCCTCACTTTATTATACAGCTTTTATTAGAGCATGTCATACAGAAACACACACAGTGAAAACACAGGAAAATAATTCATACAATACTGTATCATACAAAATCAATACATTTAATACATTTATGTATTGTTTTTTCATGGTTTGTTCATTGTTTCTGAAAAAAAGAGTCATTTTTAGTCTGTTTCTTATTCTTTTTATGAAGGTAAAAGAAGAAAGCACTCTCAACGCTAGTTATACCATTCAGCATACCTTGGCATTTTTCCACAGAAATGACTTTAATGCATTATCAAATGACTGATATCCTCTTCTTTTGGAATATCTGCAATTTCTGTGTCCTCATTTAATTCCCCACTTAATTCTTCTGCTTCATCAGCTGCTTCCAGTACTTTTTCACTGGGTTGCACCTCGGTCAGTACTGATTGGAAAATTGCTTCTGGGTGAGGTTCATTGCAGATTATCACATCGTCATCCATTGCAACAAAATCTTCAAAATCTACTCCCTAGAATTCCACCATGGGAAGTGGGCTGTCTAGCGGGGCTGCAACATCTTGCTCTTGTAACAAATCCAGTTTTCTTGATTTCAGGCCAGGGTGGATAAAAATCAATGATTTTTTTAAAAAAATCAAAAAAATCAGATTTTTTTGATTTAAATCGGATTTTTTTGATTTTTATCGAATTTATTTTAATAAAAAACTTTTGGGGTAAAAATCTATCGTAAGATAGTTTTCTATTTAAGATACATAAATAATTTAGTTTATTCAGCATGAAATGGAGCTTAGTTATGTAGCATGAGGCTGTATATTCTGCAACACTGGGACTATCGGTGAGTCAACAGTGGGTCAAAGGAGTAGCAGAGATGACAGTTGCTCTTTAAAAATTATGATTTAAATCGAGTTGATTTAAATCAAGCCTTTTTACTAGTGATTTAAATCATGATTTAAATTGTGATTTAAATCAACTCGATTTAAATCAAACCCACCCTGTTTCAGGCTGAACTTTATTCCAAGCAAAACTAATCCAGAGAACTGCATCCAGAGCAGTAACTGATGAAATGGATGATTTTGCTTCTGCAGACGAACCATAGGTTTGAATTTTAGCAATGACCCACTGCAGAAGCTGGGCTCAGTAGTGCATTTTGAATGCTTTGATTATGCCTTGGTCAAGAGGTTGAATTTTTGATGTAGTGTTTGGAGGCAAAAATTTCAGTTTCACGTTTGTAAGATGATTCACTTGGGGGTGGCTAGGACAATTGTCCACTACAAGGAAAATGGGCCGTTTCTTTTTCTTCATTTCTCGGTCAGTACCTCTTATCCACTCCTCAAATAGGGCATCAGTCATCCATGCAGATTTGTTAGATTTCCAGGTGACGGGAAGGTCTTTGGGCTGCAGGTTCTTGAATGAGGGTGGCTTTGCCGATTTACCAATCACCAAAGGTTTTAGCTTCTCTCTGGTTAAGCTAGTGCACAGCAGAACTGTGAATCGTTCCTTAGAAATTTTTCCACTCTCACATTTGTCACCATAACGAGGCTTCTGTCAAGCATCATCTTGGAAAAGAGTCCACACTTGTCAGCGTTAAAGATGTCATTATCTTTGAAGTCACTGGCGAAGTCTGGTAACTTTTTAATGAACTCTTCAACAATTTCTACTGGATCTCCATCAGATTCACCACAATATTTTCTAGGAGATCTCATGTTGCAGTTTAAATTTCTTGAGCAAACCACTTGATACTTGGAAGTTTGATCCCCTGAGCTCCTTTGCGAACTGAGTGTTAACGGCCCTCATTTATTTGAATCAACGTAACGTGGCTTCATTGACTTCATCCAGCGAAGTTTTTCTCCTTTTCCGTTGTAAATCTCCACTTTCTTCATCCTATCTCTCCTGGTACTCATCTTTATGTTTTTGGATATTGCTTACTGTTGTCTTGCTGACACCAAAATGTTCCGCCATCTTTATCATTGGGTATTTTTTTTATCGATCCAGGAAAAGGAAAAAGGAAAAAAGGAAAAAAATTGAAGTGGAAAAAAATTAAGACTTTGTGCCATTTGTATTACGAAAAGAATCCATAATTATCATTGTTAAACTGCCGAATCAAAGTCCAAAATATTGTATTCTTTGATATTCTTCTTGAAAGAAATTCATTGCTACCAATTCTGCATTTCACTTTACTTGCCCTTGGTGCAGACTAGACTCAACTGGTCAAGTTATAGAGAATAAATTAATACTGTGTGTCATGCTCCAGGTGGTCAAGATATAACTTACAGAGTTGGACTATATAGAGAGGTTGGTTTTCTATTATGCACATATAATGTATGTCTAGTCTATGAAAATTAGATTAATTTAGGGAGATAGTCAATTATGGAGGTTTTATTGTAATTATATTTATTAGGTTGTGAAAACATCAGACATGAGACAGTATACTAACAGAAAATATCAGACATGAGAACAAAGTCACTGTTATAATACGGAATATAATCTCATAGGAATGGGAAAATATTAGACTTAATTTAGTAAATGTTAGAAATGAATGATTTGTTGCTCTCTTTTCTACTTTTCTTGCAGTGTATACAAATTTCTGCACTTGATTAAAGAAATAGATGTTAACATGGATACAATTAGTGCTAAAATGGACTGTACTATATCACGTCTGAAAATAAAATATGATATAATGTTTGCACTGTACCAGAAGTTTACAAGGTAAAATATTCATTGTCTGTTGCATTTTGAAATTTAGATTTCTTTAAAAAGGAGTTTTTGCTTAAGCGATACTTAAATATATGTTATGAAATAGCTTTATTTATAATTGCTGGTAAGAAAATTAGGACAAATTTAAAGGTTATTTTTTGAATCAGAACCAGGAATCACATGATTATTCCACTTTTGTACTATTAACAATTGTTTAAAAAGGAAATTTATAGCTTAATCTTGAATTTTATGACTTGTTAACATCATCTAATATATATTTGAAAAAGAAAATATTATAAGGCCTATTAGTGAGTTCCAAGTTGTTTTTCCTTTGGGGTTATTTTTCCTTTGGGGTTAAAAAAGAATAAAATGAGTACTAAGTACTAAAAGATTATATAAACTGTTTAACTATAATTACCCAGATACCTTGACCCCCATAGTGAAAGAGTTCAGGACAAAAATAACCCCAATGCTGATTTATGGTGTGGAATTTTGGACTCTTACAAAAACTACCTTACTTGAACAAGTAGAGACCTATTTTTTTAGGAAACTGACAACACATATCAGCTCTTGTGGTCAGAGCAGAAACATATATCCATTCCATACATAGTCAATCAGTAATTAAAGTTTTCACATACTGATAGGCTATAGGTTACCCGAATACAAGTAGTGCTCAATTTATGACCCCAGTTGAGCCCAAAATTTTTATTGCTAAGTGGGACAGTTAGATAGAATAACTTCATTATCACTTTGTATACTAATTGGCATACATTAAAATGAAGTTTTGTTGTATACAGCTCTCAGGGTCATTCATTACCTGCAATATACACTACATAAACATGACAAAATAAGTAAATACAAAATTATGCATATATTATATGACACAGAGAAACAACACAGTCTAGTTCGGATGTATACATGTACATGGCGAGAAAAATGAATCTTGCAAGTTTATCAGATGGATGACATAGGGAACAAAGCTGTTACAGAATCTGGTAGTCTTGCTAGAAATACTTTGAAACATCCAACAGAAGAGCAACAGAAAGAGACCGTGAAGTGGGTGTGTAGGGTCTCTAACAATGCTTTGAGCTCTAAGCACATAGCGCTTATCAGTAGTATCCTGAATAACAGGAAGCAAGCTTTCTATAATCTTCTTGGCTGTCCACACTCTGTATGGACTTTCTATCTGAGGCGCACTGCTGTCACCAAACCAAACAGTGATGCAGTTTGTTAAAACGTTCTCAATCGTGCCTCTGTAAAAAGTGGCCAGGAGAGAAGGAGAAAGATGTGCTCTCCTCACCCGACGCAGGAAATGCAGATGCTGGTTTGCACACTTCACTAAGGATGACATGTGGAAAGACCAGTTCAGATTGCTAGTTATCTGCACCCCCAGATACTTAATAGTGTTGACTACCTCTACAGCTGCATCCTTGATACTGAGTGGAGTACGACCATGCTGGCTCTTTCTAAAATCTAGTTGTGAGTTTTATCTCATTTTACTACCTTTCTTGTCACATTCTTAAATGAATCAGTGCAGTTGTTAAGCTAATAACATGGTTCTTAAGTGAATCTGGCTTCCCCATTGACTACTTCTCAGAAGGTTGCAAAAAGTGATCACATTACCCCAGGACACTAACCATCCTAAATACATGCCAGGTTCTCTGATAGTGAATGTTGGTTTTATTATATTCTTTTTATAATATAATATTTTTACTATGAGCTTTGTTATTTTATATTGTTTATCACTTAATTTTTAAATAAGTGGTTTAAACAAATTTTAACATGAACATAAATTGATGGATGTAATATGAGATGTAATATGTTAGAGTTTTGCTTTTTTTTAGTTCAATAACAGCTAAATGTTTACAACTTTTTTCTTATGCTCTGAGGACTACCAGATCACCTCAAGAACATAGTCAGCAAAGGCCCTTCTTGTTGAATTGTGAACCCTGAGGTCTGCTTCCTAAATTTTTCAAAAATGATAAATAATCCCATTTTGCATCAGCTCAGTTTCACTAAAAATACTTTTGCTACTATAATCAATTCTGATTATCCCCCATAGGAAAATCATCTCCTTTAAGATATTATAAATATATTAAGGTGAAATTTCAAATTTTATAACCAGATGTGTTCATTTCTCTTGTTTTTAGGACTTGTGAAATTATCTGCATTAACAAGCCCAATGATCAGTAAGTCTGTTTTCATAGAATAAAAATGGCTAATATTATTATTATAAAACTTATTATTTCAAATATTCAGGTAGTGCAATGGGAAAGGGCATACGGGTGAGCAGATAAGTATAGTGTTATTAGCTGATGTTTTCTTTAAATGACAAAGAATCTGATTTTACATGTTACCTTTACAATTAGTGATGGAGAGGTAAGAATAACTTTAAGAAATACTCTTACCATAATTATATATCTTGAAATAAATTCAGATGATAAACATAAGTATAGCTATTCATCCAAGCCGATGGTACAAGAAAGTGAAAACTATTGCTCCTATCTTGAATTTTTATGAGTTCTTTTTTTGTGTGTGTGTCAAGTTTTTTTTATTTATATATCAATATTTTGAATATAGTGTATTGTCTGGGCATATCATTTTACGAAAGACAAGAAAGAAAAAATAACCCATATACTGATAGTAATGATAATACTACAACATTTTTATGAGTTCTCATAAAGTTAATAGTAGGAGGGCAATCATATTGTTTTACTTTCATTGATGTAGTGTAATGTTAGCATTTTTCCTAAAAATGTAAACAAAATATTCTTATTTAACTATTTTATTTGGCTGAGAAGGTCTATGCCATGCAAACTATATTTACAATTGTTTTAAAAGGTCAAATGTGAAAACTTACTGTGTTTTATTTGTAGAACTTGTGCTGAAATAAGTTCTTGCTTATTTATAAAACTCTGTTGGATCATGTTTCTTTTAGCAAAAGGTATGGATGTTTAAATCATATTTATTATTACATGCAATTTACTTCATTTCAAATTGTGTTTATAACTGAAATAATGGTTTGATTAATAAAGTATTTTGGGGGATTTTTTGATTTAATATTGATTCAAGACAATAAAAACAAGTAATAGTTAATATTATTGAGTGGTACATTAGTATATTCAAAACCTATTTTTATTCTGAGATCTCAAAGGATTGTAATAGTCTCCCCTCATATAATTTCTATAATAAAAATGTGTGGCAACAAGAATATGACTTGCCCTGTGTCATTCAAGGAGTTTCATGATCTAGTGGAACTTGAACTTCAGTTTCTCTGTTCCAATCCAACATTTTAACCAACGTATTATAGTAGCTCACTATTCTGGTAGGACCGAGATAAGGTTTATTTTATCAATTTATCTGAGCAAAGGAAAGAGGAATATATTTAATATCTGTACCAACTGAAATTCCATATTCCTCTATTTTTTTATTTATTTCTATCCCATATATTATTTTTACAAATAAGGCAGCAAACCTATTCAGCACACCATCCTCCCATTTTCCCTACAATAACCCTGTGAAGTGAGTTGGGCTGAGAGAGAGTGACTGGCCCAAGGACACCCAGTTGGCTTTCATAGCTAAGACGGAATTAGAATTTAGGGTCTCCCATTTTCCAGCCCGGTACCTTAACCACTATACTGGGTGTCAGCAACCTGCGGCTCTGGAGCTGCATGCGGCTCTTTCAGCCCTCTGCTGTGGCTCACGATGCTGCTGCTGCTGCTGCCGCCTCCATGGTCTGCCCGCCATGCGCAGCACAGTGAACGCGCTTGGGGGATGATGGGGTTCCCTCCTCCTGGCCCTCCCCACTCACCCCTGGCAACAGCAGCGGCGTTGGACATGGTACAGCACGGGGCAGGCCAGTGTCTTGGGGTGGAGAGCAGGCTGCGCGTCCAGCACCAACTGAGGCTGGAAGTAGCCGCCCGCTGTTTCCTGCAGCAGTCAGACAGCGAGAGAGAGAGAGAGAGAGAGAGCTTCAGCTTGATTTGGCTCCGTCTGCTCCCATCTCTCCGCCTTTGCCCACTTTTGCAAGGATTCAGTGGACGCTACCTTGGTGATGGGGGGGGGAAGGGATGTTGTCCTGTACTTTGCCTGCCAAGCATCTTCAGGGGTGCCTGGGGACTATATTTTCTGGCCACTTAGGACAGAGTTGCAGGATGTGTATGCATGCCTGTGTGAGTGTGCTGCTGCTTGGGATGATGCTTCTCTGATGTGTGTGCAGCAATCTAAGGCGGCAACCTTGTGGCACTGTGATGTAACAGCCTGACACTCACTCCTTTTGTAACGCAAGGTTTGTTTTTGTATCTTTCCAGAGACGGAGAGAATGTGGCTGAATTTCCTTACAGTTATTCCCTGGGTGTATGGGTTGGATAGTAGGGATGGGGAGTGGGGGGGAGAGAGGGGGGAAAGAGAGAGAGAGAAAGAAAAAGGAAAAAAGAGAAAGAAAGAGAGACAGAGAGAAAGAGGGAGGGAAAGAGAGAAAGAGAAAGGGGGAAGAGAGGGAAGGAAAGAAAGAGAGAGATAGAGAGGGAGGGGGAAAGGGAGGGAAAGGAGGGAAAGAAAGAGAGAAAGAGGGAGAGGGAGGGAAGGAGAGAGACAGACAGACAGATAGAGACAGTCATGTGTCTGGGTGGGAGTGAGTGATGTTGAGTTGGTCACCCCCAACCAGGCTTTGCGGCTCCCGGTGTTTTCTTTTCTGTGGGAAACTGGTCCAAATGGCTCTTTGAAGTTTAATGTTGCAGACCCCTGCACTAGACCAAACTATTATTAACATTTTATGAATTTTAGGGCTTCCTCTGAACTAGGGGGGTACAGGAGAAAAGAAGCAAATAATTATTTTATAGTGGCTTTGATGAAAATTTTAAAAGAAAAAGTCTTGATTTTTAAAGATTTATATTCAGCACAAATATTTTTATTTAATATTTCAGGAAAAATACTGCAGATGGAAGATGATTTGGTTATCTCTTTCCAGCTTCTGCTGTGTGTTTTTGATTATTGTACCAGACAATTACCCCCTGCACTACTTAAAGAACCATATAGTAAGGATTTAATATGTTTCATTAACAAATATAATAATAATGACTATACTAAAATATAACAGTTCAAAAGATGATATCCTTCCTTATACATTTCATAGTTGTGTTTTCATTTCAACTATCGCTTTCTTCTGCTTTTATTCTGTTCTAACCCATTTGTGTCAGGCACAAAAGATAAGATCCACACATGGTCCAATTAAACTGATTTATTACTATTCATGTCTATGCACAGAAATATTCTCAACTAAGAGCATATGCTGGGAGTAAGATAAGGTCAACTGAATTCAAGGGTCGACTTAGTCTGCTTGTGGCTACATAGAACTTCTAGGCTGAGTGCTCTCTTTTAACTCCATTCTCAGGTTCTGGGAACACTCCTTGCCTATTTAATTGCAATATAACACTTTTTCATATAATGATCTAAATGAGCAGGTGCAAATAGAAATTTTTAAATTTGAATCAGGCTTGGGAAAATTCTGAAAATTAATAAATTATTGTATGTGCATTATTTTATTTTAGCCCATGCAAGTATATGAACTGGCTTAGAATTATATTTTTATCATGCTGGACAAAAAGATATTTGTCCATTTCTTTTACATCTCTATAATTCTAATGGTGATTATAAAAACTGGAAAAACAACTGGAAAGACATTACCAAATCTAAAGAGAATACACATTCCTATATTTATTTTTTTCCAGAACTAAAACTGAAACAAATGTTTTATATTCATATTACAGAATGGAAGATATACTTGTATTTTGTAAACTAGTCTTAAAAATGCTGGAATATTATATTTTGATTTATATAAGGATGGCCAATCAAAGACCATAGTATTGGTCTGAAGCTGCTATTGTATTATATTAAAGTATGGTAGATACAGCTGATGAGAATTCAAAAGTCAATATTCAGAAGGCCACAAATACCTCACTTGTTAATATAGCTCTGAAAACATTTATTTTTATTTACAAATAATCCTTGATTAACCGCCAATCGCTTAGTGACTGTTTGAAGTTACAACAGCATTGAAAAAAGTGACTTATGAACGCTTTTCACACTTAAGACCATTGCAGCATCTCTATTGTCATGTGAACAAAATTGGAATGCTTGGCAATGGTTCATATTTATTCATATTTCAACCAAGAAAGGTTGTAAAATGGCGCAAAACTTAACAACTGTCTCACTTAGTAACAGAAATTTTGGGCTCAGTTGTGGTTGTTAATCAAGTAATACCTGATTAACATTAAATTCAGTTACCCTGATTATTTATTAAATTTATTTGCCACCCATCTTGTTTTGAAGCTACTCTGGACGGCTTTTAAATTTTTTTTTATTTAACAATACATTTAACTAGATGTGTCTCATTCTAACCTGTAGTTGTTCTGTGGATATTCCAATGATTTTCTTAACACCATCTATTGAAATAATCTATTATCTTCCTCTTCCTAGTAACATATCATGTAAAGGTTAGAAGGGATCTGGGAAAACATCTAGTCCAGGTACCCAGTACAAATTTCAGTGCTACAGCATTTCTCATACATGGCCTTCCAGCCTCTATTTAAACATGTACACATCTCCTAAGGAAATTTGTTTCCATTCCAGTCTCCTAAGGATATTCATTTTGAAAAGAAGCTGTTTGGGTTCACAGTCAAAATAAACAAACTCCTTTATGACTTGGCATGATGCATGAGTGCAGTCTATAAAGTGACCTGCAACAGTCCTGAGATGAGAGAGAAGAAAGTCTTCTTAGCTGTCACCTTTGTTGGTCAATAAAACAATATATGCTACACAAATGGGGATAAATTAAATGAAAAGAAGAGAGTCATCTATTCCATCGCTAGAATTAATGAAAAAGTCTGACCTAGCTTTGGGTTTAAGTATTGTGAACCCTTATGGGCTTATCCTTCAACTTCAGAAATCCATGCCAACATGTTCCTGTTATCTACCATCTCCTAGGATGTTCATCAGCTCCTGACCTTGAGTATTTTGATTTGGCTATCTTTATCAATCTAAAAATTATTATGCTTATATAAATATTGCCAAGGTGACGCAGTGGTTAGAGTGCAGTACTGCAAGCTACTTCTGCTGACTGCAATTTGGCAGTTCAAATCTCACCAGGCTTAAGGTTGACTCAGCCTTCCATCCTTCCGAGGTGGGTAAAATGAGGACCCAAATTGTTGGGGGCAATATGCTGAGTCTGTAAACCACTTAGAGAGGGCTGTGAAGCAGTATATAAGTCTTAAGTGCTATTGCTATTCCTTGTGACATAAATTCATGGTTTCTTGTTCTATCTTCTGGAGCAACTCTTGATAACTCTGATTGCCCTTCAGACACTTGACCATCTTGTCTTCTTATAATCATCTTCCATCCAGGCTAAATGTATCCTTTTCCTCCAACTGCTCCTCATAGGCTTTTTCTTCCAAGCTCTTTATCACTCCAGTTTGTCAGCGGCTTACTTAAGATATGCCTAAAACTGATGGCAATATTAGGTATGACTTAATGCAATCTAAAATTGGGGAATGGGAAAAAAGAGAGAGAAAGAATTGGGAATAGGAGTGCAACAATGTATATTTTATAATGAAATTCTTAGGTCATATTGGAAGAAATGGACGAGATTCTCTTCAAGATTGCCCCATCCCTTTGAGAAGATGCTATGAATAACATGGGAACCATTTGGAGTAGTGTGAAAAAGTAGAAGAAGGAAGCTTTATAGAGGAAAAGAAGCAACTGGGAAAAATCACTTCTTTTCCCTTTTCCTCCAAAGAGAAAACACTATCTGCTATCTCTTCAAACTAAAGGATTCATTCTATTCCTAGAGAGATGTGGACTAAACCATTAGACTTTTTCAGTTTGATATGAGAATTAAGATCTTAAGTCAAAGTTTGTTAAGTTTTGAGGAAGGTATCACACAGAAAGGACAGATGACTTTTGAAATTTATTCATGAACTGAATTATATTTTATTTATGGATTTATTGGTTTTACACTTACTTTCCTCCAGGAGCTTAAGATGGTATACTCCCTCTTCGCAATTTCCCCACAGCAACAACCCTATCATGAAGGCTGAGCTAAGAGTGACCAGCCCATTCAATAGGCTCCTGTGGTTGAAAATGGACTAGATTTTCTTGGTGTGTGCCCAAAACCCTATGATCTGTATACCACACTGTCTCACATGTAATAGTTCTTTTGGGAAGCACTCAGCCTGTCAAGGAAGAGGGCTTAAGCATGTGTGGATCTACCTGTTCATGCCTGACAATTTCTGATCTAGCAAACAAATCCTTTTTTGTATACTTGAAAGCACTTTTTAAATTTTGTTTATTGCTTTGACGTAATTCTTTACAATAAGCAAATGACTGGCTTCTTTCCATAGAATCTGTAATTGCAGTATCGTCTCGAACAAGTAGACAAGGTCAGAATAAAAGTGCAAGAACATCAAACATTGATACAGACATCAAGGTTATTGAAGAGCTCTGTAAAGAGTATGATTGTAATTTGGATGAGGTAAGAGTAGAATTTTTATAATTTTGTATTTTTAATTTTTAATATATTTTACCAGGTTTTACTGAAAGAAATACAAAAAAATGAAAAGCGAAACATACAAATAGTCCTACAACCACTTGGTTGGCGACCACTCCAAGTTAGAGCAGCACTGAATGAATGGGGGCTATGCCTGGTCCAGCTGTTCCAGAACTCTCACAATCTGGTTGTTCTTCCCCACCCACCCATACATCTTTCCCCAGTTTCTCCCTCACCTGCACCACACACCCATGTACCCTTCTCAGTTTACATGGTATCTTTTGCATACACCCTCCCTGGCCCACCTCTTGTGCACTTTTCCTAATCTATGTCTCTCCAATCTTCCCTCACATTTTTTTACCATGGTAAAAATGGTCTTAAAGTTGGATCCAATGACTTGATGAATAGTTTTATAATGACATTGCTTCGCAATCAAAATTCTGGTCTCATTTGTTATAAGTCAAGGAGTACTTGTAGAACGTTTTGCCTTTTATGTAATGTCATCTAAACTAATAATGTTCCATGATTAATTTATGTATTAACAAGCACCCAAATGCTAATCCTAAATAAAAATAAATCTCTTAGGATTTCACTAGCTAAATTGAAATTATTTTATGATAATTATAATTGACTTTATATTTTATCAGCTATGGAATATGAATGTAAATTCAGCAGAGTATGTCTTTGTAGGCTGTCTTGGAAAATGTCTTCTTATATCTCATTAAGATCCTGGCAATCGCTGGGGTCCACATAATAGAAAGGGTATTCATTTCTGGATTTTTAAGTAGCTGACATGTTTCGGTCCTGTTGGTTATATTTTAATGAATAATTAACTTTATAAAGGTCACGAATATTCAACTTTTTTGGAAAAGTTCTGCAAATTTTTTTCCAGCCTATAATCTCATTATACATTTTTTTAAAATTCCATGATTTTTAAATTTATTTATATATTTATTTACATCCCGCCTTTATTTTTTCTTTTACAAATAAGTCAAATCAGCAAATATATCCAACACACCTTCCTCCTCCTATTTTACCCACAACAGCAATCTTGTGAGGTGAGTTGGGCTGAGAGTGACTAGCCCAAGGTCACCCAGCTGGCTTTCATGGCTAAAGCAAAACGTGAACTCATGGTCTCTTGCTTTCTAGCCTGGTGCCTTAACTGCTAGCCCAAATTGGCTCTGGAGTTAATTAGTTGGCTGGTATTTTCTAGAACACTTCCTGTTCCTCTTAATTATTTGAATATGGAAACAATATTGGATATGTTTCCAATATTTAACACTTGTTTTCTCTCTCTACTGGATGCTCAGCATTCATATCTTCTTTAGAAGGATTATATTTGCTTAGTAAACTGACTTTTCACACTGCTTAAATAAATTGTATTTGTCAACTGTAATTTTTTCCTGTCATAACCAGTTCAATATTTGCGCAATTTTGATATTTTATTCAGTGGTTGCAGAAGTGATGAAGGCTGCCAGGGCGAGCTTACTATTTCCATTACAGGTAGTCGCTTAACACTGTTCAAAGTTACAACAGACTCAAAAAAAATTACAACCCATCTTTGAAGTTACAATTGTTGCAAAACTTCCCATAGTTACATGATCACATTTTGGACACTTGGCAACCCTGCTCACATTGCAGCATCCTGTGGTCTGTTTTGTGACTTTTTTTGTCATTTTCTAGAAAATAAAAACCCCATTCGGACAGCCATATGACGTGTTTAATAATCACATTATTCACTTAAAAACTACAGTGATTTGCTTAATGATTGAAATAAAAACTGAAATAAATAGATTGAAATAAAATCTAATTCAATCACAGGCTGACTTGACACACAATTACAATCACTTGAAGACCAAAACCTCAGGTACAATTGTGGTCATAAGTCAATGACTACATGAAGATAGCTTTCATAATATTGGTAGCATCTGATATGTAATATATGCTGTTAATATGGATGTAATAAAGTTTCATTATTTGCTCTTTGCTGTCATTCCTTTGTAATAGAATCAGTAAAGCTAATCCTGAGACATGCAGTGAATTTAGTTTTCAGGTGGTAAAATAAGAGAAGGTACTGCAGAAAAAGAAGATGATTCTCTTTTTTATGGTCAAAACTTAGGATGCTAATCAATCTGCTTAGAACAGTTCATGCAAGTGATATGTCCTAAACCATATGTTTTCATAGGAATTCATGCTAAACTAAATGTAATTCTAGATAACAAGTCTCAGATGTAGTAATGTGTTCATGCTACTAAATTATAGTAATAAACCACATACATTTTTATACCATTTTATGCATGAAAAATGACACTCATGATACTGATGCTCTTTTATAATTTTAGGTGAAAAATGTTTACTTTACTAGCTTTATTCCATTTCTGAATTCAATGGGCATTACAACTTTCGGAAGTCTTCAGGAGGTAAACCTAAATTAATTTGAAAATCAGTTTGCCATTATGAATCCTTGATCTGATTTTGATAATTAGAAACTTGTCCCTTGATAGACTTTTCTAATAGGGAAATGCTACTTACCAGTTTTTAAATACTTTTTATTAATATAGATGCACTTGAACGTCAAATGACATAAAATCAGTGGTTCTTGAACTGTTTACCCAATTACCCTTTTTCTGATAGGTTTCCAAAACCGGATCCTGGACAAAAACAAAAAATTTTAAATTACTCCATTACCCCAAGGATATGCCCATATTATTCCCTTAGTAATAATTGCCCACAGTTTAAGAACCACTGCATTAGATGATAATTTAGGTAATGCTTTTATTAAAATAAATTGAGTAAATAAATGGAGTATAAACAATGTTTTCCAAAATAAATTACATATAAATGTATCATAGATGAATAATACATTTTCAGTATGAATCTATTTTTCTTTCAACAAGGTTGAAGATATGTCAAGCAAATATGAGGAAATGTATTTGAAAAACAAGGATATTGATGCTAGATTATTTCTAGAGAAAGATGAGACTTTGCAATATGAAAATGCAGAATGGTAATATATTTTCTTTTTTGCATAGTCCGTATTCCAGTAATATCTATTCATTCATTAGATAATTTGAGGATTAGCTTCAGCTGCCTCACAGGCAGTGACTCATAGGCACCTCATTTAAGAAGGGAAGATTAGAATGAATATCCAGATGTCTGATTTTATTGACAATAGAACACAGTCCAATTTGGTTAAAGATACTTTGCTCTCTTTTATTAATTCCTATCCAGCTTTGGCAATGCTGTTGCTGCTTTTGTAGAAGCTTAGGCTAAAGTGGATATTTGATCCTTCCAAGTTACAATATAAATAAGTAGATATGATTTTGAATTATAAGAGTCAGTCAAGCCTAAGTCTGGGACGTTTGCTAAAGGAAATGAGAATGAATAAATACTAGATGAATATCTAATACATCTTGAAAAAAATTGAGTGAAAAGAATGAAGCAAGAAACGTCACAGAACAAGGGCACTTATAGGGACTACTATTATCAGAACTCAGCTAGGAGTATGTAACAATCCCTCTTTGAATGTTGCCATTAACAAGAACTCTGTCATGAGTGGTGGGGGGAACAAATGTGACCAGAGATTTTAGCTTGGTTTAAGAAAAGAAGCTTTTATATACCTACATGATACATATGTGTAGAGACATTTTTCTTATATTAAGTTTACAGTTAGAGAGAACTCCTACAAAAAACCAAATTGAAGATTCTCCTATTGTACTTCCACAAACCCCTGTTCGGTAAGAATCATTTAAATTGTATTAATATTGAATTACCGTAGTTTTTTCGGAGTATAAGACGGAGCTTAGTTTTTGGGGAGGAAAATAGGAAAAAAATCTGCCTACCAGGTATTCATCTGGCTAGCGTCCTGAGAGGGAGCAGCAATGAGAAAAGCAGGCAAAGCACTGAGATCGCTTCACTCACTAGCGCCTCATTAGGGCTGAAAAAAGCTTCAAAAAAAGCTACATTCAGAGTATAAGTCATGCCCAAATTTTCAGCTTCTTTTAGGGGGGAAAAAGTGTCTTATACTCCGAAAAATACAGTATTTTAATGGTTTAATTAAATTATTTTTGAATTGTAAGTCTCACACATTTAAATAAATTGAACGAAATAAGTGTCAGTTTCTTAAATATTTAGATCATTAAAATATTGCATACATTTACATTTGTAGTTTCAAAGGAAAAATGCAACAGTAAGAGTAGTCTTAGCCTATTTTAGCGGTTTTAGGGGTTCAAATATTTTAATATTAGCAGTTTTCTCAAAGCTTGCAAACATTTTATTTCTTAGATCCATTTAGCAAATCTATGATTAAAATTGTTGTACAACTTCACTGCTCCTGCAAATAAGTTCTTAATAATATGGGTAGTTTGAAATGCTTCAGAGGATGTTAATACTACAATTATAGGGAACAACTACAATGTTATATTAAAAAGTTATATTTCTGAGGAATGTCTTTATTTAAATGCTGTTGTGTTTCAGAAAATACTAAGTGTTCTTCATTCACTTTAGAGCTGCAATGAATACTATTCAGCAGTTAATGATAATATTGAACTCTGCAAGTGATACTCCTTCAGACAACCTTCTCTTCTATTTTAATGTAAGTAGCAACAATTTAACTATACTTGTGACTTTTAATTGTATCAGATTGAGTTTTGTTTTTGATTGGAAATAATAATTGCTTCAGGTATGGTATGGTTAGTTTCAATAAGATCCAATTTGGTTAAAAGTAGACATGTGAAGAGGTTGGCAGTGTATACCTGCTGTTGATCAGGTTTGTTGGCTTACCATCTTGTGCACACTATACCAATAAATTAGACATTTTTTTATGCCATTCTGTGTTTTTATGAAGAGTATTTATATATACTAATTGCTTTTCCTGCAATTCTAAAGACTGCTGTTTAATTTCTGAAATTATTTTTTGTTAGGATAGTAACAAAATTTAATAAATCTCCATATTTGCTTTTGCTCAGGTATGATCTGGGCATGCAAAAATATTGTTGTTTAACTAAATGGAGTGGAATATAACAGGAGTTCTTTTGTCTTGTAATTGCTTTTATGAAATATAAAACATACCAGAAAAATAGCTGGATTCAGGTTAAGACATAGTAAGACAACTGTTAAAACAAGCCCTTTAGTTATAAGCACATTCAAAATTATGGTGTAATATTACAGGAAAACCAAGCTATGTCTTACGTTGTTAGGATCTTTATATGTCTTTTTGAAACTAAAAAGAAGATAAAGAAACATACATTTTTCAACATTATAGAGCAGGTGTCCCTAACCCTCAGATTGCAACCTGTTACCAAGCCAAGCCTGTTTGAAACAGGGCCATGGGAGATATGGGCAAGTGCGTGCACGAGTTCCCTCCACTCACACATGTGGAGCTGTGTGTGCACACATGCGCCTGCCCCATGCCAGGCTAGGCTGCCAAGCTGGAAAGGATGGGGACCACTGTTTTAGAGGATATAATTTTGTCATGATTTAGTTCTTTCTTCTCTGATAAGCCATAAACTTTGGTAAAAGGAAGATTTTTGCAGGATGGGCATTATTTCTGTCAGGAATAAAAACACAATGTTATAATAAAATTACTAATTAAGAAGAACATTGATATTATTTTTTGAATCATTGGGTGAAATTCAGCGGTATCTATCCACTATGGTTGACATTGGCAGAAAGGATTTCCTCATATACAGCTTTCACCAACAACTTCTCTAAAACATGGATGTTCCAAAGGACCTTTTTAGAGCTCAGTGACAGGAGGAAAGGACAAGTCAGTTTCTGTAAATTGATATTTGTGTACTTATGATTACTCCCCTACAGCTTGAATTTATTTATTTTACTTGTTGCTCTGAATAAATTTTCTAAGTAGAGAATAATTTCTATTTCAAGCAACCTCAATCTCCCTGATCTGCCATCCCAATAGCTATTAGTCAAGGGGACAATGGCTGAGTTTTATACATCATACTAACCCAGGATTTTGAAAGTTGTGTTGATATGACAACCAGTTTGGTCCTAAACTGGGCAACATCTCATACATGGGAAGGAGCTGACACAGAAAATGCTTTTTGCAATGACCACAGAAAATGGTCATTGTCTGTACTTCAAATTGGAGCATATTCAAAGAGCTTGTTGAACTTAAAATAAATATAGCAATAGCAATAGCACTTAGACTTATATACCGCTTCATAGTGCTTTACAGCCCTCTCTAAGCAGTTTACAGAGTCAGCATATTGCCCCCAACTATCTGGGTCCTCATTTTACCGACCTCGGAAGGATGGAAGGCTGAGTCAACCTTGAGCCTGGTGAGTTTCAATCTGCCAAACTGCTGAACTATAACCAGAATATAAGCAGACTTTTTAGGCTTATGGGCTAAACTTTGTTTTTTTCCTCTTTTTCAATCATTGCACAAAATCCTAAAATCTCAGTTAATGCAAAGGCAAAATGTGACTCACCCAGAAAGTTATTTTTGGTCCTTACTTATGTTAGTTACATATGGGGGTGTCATGCTGGGGGTGGTTGATAGATTAATAACAGATTCCACCTCCCCCATGCTTATCCTACTCCCCATTCCCCATCTTTTAATTATAATTGATAATTTGTATTTTATAGTGTTTTATTTTTATATATATATATATACACATGTTTTTGTATTGTTTTATTCAGTGTTGTAAGCCAGCGGTCCCCAACCTTTCCAGCTTTGCAGACCAGTGGGGGGGAAGGGAGAGGGGATGGTTCTGCGCAAGGGGCGGATGAGCCCGCACACACCTGCTGCTTCTATGGCCCGCTTCTGAACGTGAAGCGGACCAGTAATGGGCAGTGGCTGGGGATTGGGGAGCTCTGTTGCAAGCTGCCCAGAGTCACTTCATGGTGAGATGGGTGGCAAACAAAATTAATAAATATTCTGCCAACCAGGGAAAAACAGGTATTAATATGAGAGGCATTGTTTTATATAGCAAGCATCCATGTCATATTGTACCCTAAATAGGTCTATAATATTCATCCCTGTAACAAACCTTTGTTATAACATGTTCATAATAGCAGATTCTAAATAGTAAGATTACTTCCATATTTTGAACTATGTTCAAAGGCAGGTTAATATAAGAGGTTATCAGAGTGGGAATCATTGCTATCTACTGACTATAATGTTCATAGCAATCATACTATTCTGATAAAAATAACTCAAGTTGCAGAGTGGGTTCTTCTATTGTAATAATACATCTGTGAGTTTAAGTTTTAAATTAATTCAAAGGCTCTTTCTTATATGTTAGCCTCCTGAATTGATTTCTTAAGCATAATAATTTAATTACATATGTTTGTTCTGACTAAAACAATCCCATCCTATTGCTAATAAAATGAAGCAGTGATTTAATAATGTAATGTCTAAAGCTTGTCCTCTAGTTAAAGATATTTTGTTTTTCTATATTATTCTATAATATTGTGTATCTAAAGATGCTGATGATGTTACCTATTCGGTTGTGTCTGACTCTTCACGATTCTATGGGCCAGGTCTCTCCACGTTTTCCGATCATGCACTACTATTTTGAGTTGTTCTGTGCTCTGGCTGGTGTCAGCTTTGATTATGGTATCTAAAGATTTCCTTCCAAATATTACAGAACTGCACAGTTAATCCTCATAAATCAATAGTGAAAAGAATAGAAAATATGGGTATTATCTTCAAGAACAAATTTGCTGAAGCAGTTGGACAAGGCTGTGCTGAAATTGGATCTCAGGTAGGGTTCTTCAATAATTCAAAACAAAATATATTTTTTTCTTAAGTGCTAGGAAAATTCTGAACTGGGGAATGCATTGAGTTGGGGAAATCAGTGAGTTTAAAGTATTCCTCACGAAACATATAAGTGTTGTCATAATTCTTATAAATTCACACCCTTTACATATTTGTGGAAATATGCTGCAAATAAGATGCTGCAATTATCTGTAGAAGCAAGCTGATTTTAACAGCTTAGTTTTTTTTAATGTCAGTTCTATTTTATTATCAAAACATATTGTGTAATCTAGAACTCAAAGAAAACATCATAACAAGTATGTGTGTGCGCGCAAACGTGTGTGTGTGTGTTGGTACACATAATGCAATGTGTGCCCCACCTGCGCATGCGTGCACGACCCCACATGCTCCCCTGCACATGTGCGCATCCCCGTGCATGTGCCCTATTTTGGGCCTGGAAAGCCTCCTGCACCAAACTTTGCCAGCCCCAAGCCTCCACCAGGGAGGGAGGGAAGCCTCAGCTGCTGCTCCTGCCGCCGCTGGGGAAGCGGCAGTGCGAGAATCGCCGGGGCGAGGGGGCCCGCTTCCCTTCCTCCCCGCCTGAGCAGGCTTCTTGAGTGGCCCCAAGCCTCCGCCAGGGAGGGAAGCCTGTTCCTGCTGCTGCCAGGGAAGTAGCAGTGCAAGAATCGCCGGGGCGAGGGGGCACGGTTCCCTCCCCACCTGAGCAGCTTCTTGTACGGCCCCAAGCCTCCGCTGGGGAGGGAGGGAAGCCTGGAGCTGCTTGCGGGCGTCAACGGCCTGGCTGGTGCACAGGCGCGCTAGGAGGAGCTGTCCAGTGAGCATGCGCACGCCAGGAAATGGACCATCAGTTGGCCAGCTGATCTTCCTGTTTCTGGCACTACCGCACATGTGAAGGCCAGCTGATTGTTGCACGTGCATGTATATATATATGCCTGCTTATAACCAGAAGACTAGCTGGCCGGTGCTCATGTGTGCGCCGGAAACCCAGAAGAGGAATGGGCGACGCTGTGCATGCCAGGTGACATGGCTCTATGTGCCACTTCCAGCACGTGTGCCATAGGTTTGCCATCACGGTCCTATATGTTAGAACAATATAGAAATGAAATAAAAACCAATGTTGCCTATAAATGTATTTGAATGAATGGCATTTGAGGTGCTACAATAAGAATTGGAGAACTGCTGAAGATGGCCTGCTGAATGCCTTACTTGACCACCTTTTTCTAAGAGTATCTAATTCTCAAGTTAATTAACATAGATTTTGCAAAATATCACTAAGATCAATGTTTTAAATACATAGTTCTCTTCAATGGCTTTGGGTACATTCCCATGAAGGGATAGCATGCAAATATGAGGCATGTATCTTTTATTATTTGGTGCAGTATAAAAGAGATAAAGGGATAAAAGCGAATTTAGCACTTTACTTAAACAAAAGTTTAACGTTCAATGTGATGTATTTCCAAAAGTATGTTATACACTGAAGTATTTTTTGGCTCATAAGATAAAATATGTTATAAAAGTCATGGTATTGTGTATGATTTTTTTATATAGGCATTGAATTCTGTTTTTTAAATTTTTGGATGCTGACCATAGTAGACTTTCTTAAGTAGTACTGTATAAATGGTCCACAAAAATTGGCAAAAGAGATTAAATAATTTGCATTCATAGCATTATGTTTCACTTGTAAAATATTTTATTTGCTATTTCAGAGGTACAAAATTGGAGTAAGATTATACTACCGAGTGATGGAATCCTTATTGAAGTCGGTATGTTTTCAGTATATTATTTTTTATAATATTCTATATGTTAGCTTTATCAAATGCTATGCTAAATTTTTAGTTATATATCTGTTACAGGAAGAAAAACGTCTGTCAGTTCATAATTTCAGGTATGTTTACTAAAATATTCTTTAGATATCTCTACTTTGTAAAACTGTTTTAGAATGCTTTTATGATAAAAATTATCATATAATTTGTTAATGTTTGTCATTGTTAATGGGGTATGTTATTATTTTTTTTACAGCAAACTTTTGAATAATGACGTCTTCCACATCTCTCTGCTGGCTTGTGCTCTTGAGCTAGTCATGGCTACATATGGCAGTAAGTTCAAATTAACTAGAAGCATTATCAAGCAGACATTCTTGGGACAAACTTCTTTTCCCAAAGGGTTTTCTGTGATTGGGAATCTACCATCTTTAAAATGTTATTTTAAATGTAAAGTCTTGTAATAAATAACTCAGCATAACAGCTAATTTTATACATGACTTTGTTGCTCTACATTAATCAGTTGTGTTCTCTTAAGCTTCAAGAAATGCTTCACAGAGCGTGAATTTAGAGACAGACTTGTCTTTTCCATGGATCATCAACATCCTGGATTTGAAAGCCTTTGAATTATACATGATTGTTGAAAGCTTCATTAAAGCAGAACCAAGCTTGACCAGAGAGATGATAAAACACCTAGAATGCTGTGAACACAAAATTATGGAATCACTTGCATGGCAATCAGTAAGTTGTTTTCTAAACATACAATAACCATGGTATTGTACATCTGTGTTCCATAAAATTATTTTAATTGTATATTGGGTGAACTCTGAATTTACATTAGGACAATTTTATAAACGTATAATCCAAGTAAAGTAGGAGTTGAAGTGATACCTATTTCCTCAGTAGAACACACATACTTTTTAAATTGTGAAGACTGGTTTGAAGACCTACATTCAGAGGCATTTTCTATTTCTTTATACGGTAATAGTTTTGCTTCTCTACAGTGTTTGGAAACAGATTAGTTGTTGGGTTTGCACCTGCTCCTTAGAATGAATTGGAAGTGAATTACTAAAAAAGGTAGCAACTTGAGCAGGACAAAAATATTTGTCTCAGGGGTTTATTGTCAGTTCAGTATTGGTCTTCTTTGGGGCATCTTACCTATGGCCTGTACATACTCCCTCCACCCCTTGTCTTTGTTATCGGACAGTTGCATATAATTTGAATTTAAAAAGGATGTAAAGGGGGAAAAGAAAAATACCTTCATTAGATTTCAAAGACCGTGACTAAAGAAATCAAATGTAAGCTTTGTTCTTTAACTTTAATGTATTGTTTTGAAAATTATAGAAATTGGTATTGGGTTGTTTAAATAATATTGAAAAATGAAAATTGTGGTCAACTCCACCTATCTTTATACACAGAATATTTCTGCTTATCTAATAATAAGGGGGAAATGAACCTTGGTTTCTCAATTTTTTCAGCTTCAGAACCATGGTGTATCACCACATAGTAGTACAGGTAGTCCTCGATTTACAATCACAATTGAGCCCAAAATGTTTGTTAAGTGAGACATTTGTTACGTGAGTTTTGCCCCATTTTATGACCTTTCTTGCCACAGTTATTAAATGAATCATTGCAGTTGTTTAGTTAGTAACCCAGTTGTTAAGTAAAACTGGCTTCCCATTGACTTTGCTTGTCAGACAGTTGGAAACAGTAATCCCATGACCCTGTGACACTGCAATGGTCATAAGTATGAACCAGTTGTGAAGCATCTGAAGTTTGATCACATGATCATAGGGATGCTACAAGGATTATAGCTGAAAAATGGTCATAAGCCACTTATGTCAGCACCTTTGTAACTTTGAACGGTCACTAAATGAACTGTTGTAAGTTGAGGACTACCTGTAAACTAAAGGAAGAAATAAATCAATAAATCTTCATTTTTGTCATAGACCAGCATCATTAAATGAAGGAAAAAACTTGAGTTTTCCACTTTCTAGTTAAACACTAAAGCAGTCAAAAGATGACTGTTTTACCTGGAAGGGGACCAAAATGATTAAGAAGGTAAATTCAGCATTTTGCATTTTGCAATTGGAAGTCTTGGACCCTAAGAAGTAAATAAGATTAAACAAACAAACAAATATTACATAAAACTTTACTTTTTCCATAGTAGTCTACTGTAGAGGTCCCCAACCCCTGGGCTGCATCCTGTTCAGAGCCAGGCTACGGAAGTGGTGCATGAGCACGGTGGATAGCATGCGCATACAGCTCCATTTCTCTGAGCTGTGTGCACGCATGCTTGCTGCTTGTGCAAATGGAGCTGCATGTGCTCACCCTCTGCTTGCACGGAACCATCCTCTTTTCTCCCCCTACACTGGTCCGTAAAACCAGAAAAGTTGGAGACTGCTGGTCCACTGTTTCAAAGACTTTTATGCTAATAACAATATTACAATTTTTCAGTTTACAGATTTTATACTGGGTTTAATTACTTCTGAAAGTGTTCAGTCCAAATGCATTCAGATAGTCCTGATGATCAAACATTATTTTAACTCTAATCAAAGCTGCAGTAACAAAAAATGGACTCTTAAGTGATTTCCACAGAATATATCAAGATTTTCTGGTTTTAGCTGTTCTCACAAGTGTTTTTTTTTTTTTTTATTATTATTATTTATTAAATTTTTATACCGGCCTTCTCCCGAAGGACTTGGGGCGGTGCACAGCCAAAAAATAAAACCAACAAATATATAAAAGTTAAAAAACAGCTTAAAAAACATATTAAATAATCTTGTCGCCACGTGTTACAGTGGGGCAAAAAACTATTTAGTCAGCCACCAATAGTGCAAGTTCTCCCACTTAAAAAGATGAGAGAGGCCTGTAATTGTCATCATAGGTAGACCTCAACTATGAGAGACAAAATGAGAAAACAAATCCAGACAATCACATTGTCTGATTTGGAAAGAATTTATTTGCAAATTATGGTGGAAAATAAGTATTTGGTCAATATCAAAAGTTCATCTCAATACTTTGTTATATATCCTTTGTTGGCAATGACAGAGGTCAAACGTTTTCTGTAAGTCTTCACAAGGTTGGCACACACTGTTGCTGGTATGTTGGCCCATTCCTCCATGCAGATCTCCTCTAGAGCAGTGATGTTTTGGGGCTGTCGCTGGGCAACAAGGACTTTCAACTCCCTCCAAAGGTTTTCTATGGGGTTGAGATCTGGAGACTGGCTAGGCCACTCCAGGACCTTGAAATGCTTCTTACGAAGCCACTCCTTCGTTGCCTGGGCAGTGTATTTGGGATCATTGTCATGCTGAAAGACCCAGCCACGTTTCATCTTCAATGCCCTTGCTGATGGAAGGAGGTTTGCACTCAAAATCTCACGATATACATGGCCCCATTCATTCTTTCCTGTACACGGATCAGTCGTCCTGGTCCCTTTGGAGAGAAACAGCCCCAAAGCATGATGTTGCCACCCCCATGCTTCACAGTAGGTATGGTGTTCTTTGGATGCAACTCAGCATTCTCTCTCCTCCAAACATGACGAGTTGTGTTTCTGCCAAGCAGTTCTACTTTGGTTTCATCTGACCATATGACATTCTCCCAATCCTCTTCTGGATCATCCAAATGCTCTCTAGCAAACTTCAGACGGGCCCGGACATGTACTGGCTTAAGCAGGGGGACACGTCTGGCACTGCAGGATCTGAGTCCCTGGCAGTGTAGTGTGTTACTGATGGTAGCCTTTGTTACGTTGGTCCCAGCTCTCTCTACAGGTCATTCACTAGGTCCCCCTGTGTGGTTCTGGGATTTTTGCTCACCATTCTTGTGATCATTTTGACCCCACAGGGTGAGATCTTGCGTGGAGCCCCAGATCGAGGGAGATTATCAGTGTCTTGTATGTCTTCCATTTTCTAATTATTGCTCCCATAGTTGATTTCTTCACACCAAGCTGCTTGCCTATTGCAGATTCAGTCTTCCCAGCCTGGTGCAGGTCTACAATTTTGTTTCTGGTGTCCTTCGACAGCTCTTTGGTCTTCACCATAGTGGAGTTTGGAGTGTGACTGTTTGAGGTTGTGGACAGGTGTCTTTTATACTGATAACAAGTTCAAACAGGTGCCATTAATACAGGTAATGAGTGGAGGACAGAGGAGCCTCTTAAAGAAGAAGTTACAGGTCTGTGAGAGCCAGAAATCTTGCTTGTTTGTAGGTGACCAAATACTTATTTTCCACCATAATTTGCAAATAAATTCTTTCCAGATCAGACAATGTGATTGTCTGGATTTGTTTTCTCATTTTGTCTCTCATAGTTGAGGTCTACCTATGATGACAATTACAGGCCTTTCTCATCTTTTTAAGTGGGAGAACTTGCACAATTGGTGGCTGACTAAATACTTTTTTGCCCCACTGTAAAAACAGAAACAACCCATTAAAATTTAGTATTTAGGCCAGCACAGCTTGATGAAATAATAGTGTCTTGAGGGCCCGGCGAAAGGTGCGTAGGTCAGGGATCATACGTATCTCCGGGGGCAATTCATTCCAGAGGGCAGGTGCCCCCACAGAGAAGGCTCTCCCCCTGTGGGTGGCCAGTCGGCATTGTTTTAATTATGCAACTAATTCTTAGCTACTAGTATATTGATAAAACCATCCACCAAATGCTGCTATACCTCCCAAGTCTCTCAGCCTAACTTAAGCTTCTTTTCAATGTTGAAGGCCTATGTAATCATCCTTTTCCAGAAACTGATTTGTAACATTTAATCAAGAGCATTCTCAGCTTTCATAAGGACATAAGTGGCATTTGGTGTTGCTCTCTCTTTTAGTGTTTTCTAAGATACTTCAACAGATATTGGAAAGCTTAATTTTATTTATAGTTTATATAACTTTTAAGTATTAGATGCCTACTGCTTTTTTAAATGCCCAAGATGCTGAGATATACAGGCCTATCCTCTGTACTGGTCTTATTCTTAAATGTATTCACATCAGATGATGGGACAGATTAAATAGGGAATCTTCATATTACTAGACCCTATTAAAATTCTACATATTAGCCTCTTGCAATAAAGGAATCTTGCTTTCAATGATAAAGCAGGCAGATAAATCTAGAGGAGTACACTTACGCATCTGGAAAATTATTTTTCTAATGCAAGTATAGGTAGTCCTTGACTTACAACAGTTCATTTAGTGATGATTCAAAGTTAAACAGCACTGTAAAAAGTAACTTATTACCATTTTTACACTTATGTTCATTGTGGCATCCCCATGGTCATGTGGTAAAAATTCAGATGCTTGGCAAGTGCCTTATATTTATGATGGTTGCAGTATCTTGGGGTCATGGATTACCTCGTGTGACCTTCCCCATTGAGAAGGAAAGTCAATGGGGAAACCAGATTCACTTAACAACCATGTTACTAGCTTAATGGTAGTGATTCACTTAACAATTGTGGCAACAAAAGTAGTAAAGTGGGACAAAACTCACTTAACAAATGTCTCACTTAGCAACATCAATTTTGGGTTTAATTGCGGTTGTAAATTGGGGACTACCTGTAATAGTCTTCAACAGCAAGATAATATAGAAAACCATGTTTCCCGTAGCTAACCAAGTACAGTTATTCTGAAAGTTCATAATCTTTTCCTCTTCGAACTTATATTGCAACTACCTCTTTAATTTTTCTGAGGATACGTCATTCCTCTATCTGAACTTATGGATATTATCTTGTGCAGAACTAGATCATATCCTTGTCAGTCAT